AAATGAAGATAGTGACATCAAAATCCTGGAGGATTACATGGGATAACCTGGGCTTGATGCCTCACTCTCAGCAGATGCATGACAGAGCTCTTGTCCTCAGCTGTCTCTCCTGGGTCCTTCATCTATAGCAGCGCAGTCCTCTCAGAGGACTGACATAACTATAAGGAAGTAGATAATACAGATATATACTAGCTATAGAGGCTCATATAATGTTTGCTTTATACCCAACATTCAGCCACCTTTCCTCAGTGTCACTTCTTTCACACCCCACATCCACCCAGAGACAAACAACTGTAATTTAGTTATTGAGGATGGATAATTAACATTTGGCATACTGCAGGGGTACTAGCCTGTGAGTGGATGTGATATGGTCAGGAAGGAAACTGGGGAATCACACTGATGTGATATGAAGCATCAGGCTCCCATATCTCCTGGGAGACACTGTTACATACATACTCAATGGGAGCTTATGTGAAACCTCTGAGGTCCTGTTACCTCTGTGCTCTATTCTCACTTGTGATGGATGGAGAAAGCCATTTATAAAGATATTTCACACTCAGATATTTATGTGGCACCACATATCAAGGTGTGTGTGTGTGTGTGTGTAGATTTCTTATGGTGCAGATGATGGGAATAAGTAGGTATATTGCAGACACCTAATAAAAATATTATGCACTTTAAAAAACATTAGCTTTTATGCCAAGAAGTTTTGAATTTGACTTTTAGAAATAATATAATGAAAGCTTCCTAAATAAATGATTTTAAAATCAGAAATTATAATACTATTGTTGAGTATAGCACATCAACATGTCTGATTTCTTCTTTTCTGAACCATGTCCATTTCTTTTTTAATTTCTTATTTGTTTTAATTAGTTACACATGACAGTGGAATGCATTTATGCACTTTGATACATCACACATAGATGGAATATAATTTCTCATTTTTTTCAAGTGTACATGTTATAAAATCACATTGGTCATGTGATTTTATAACATGTACACATAAAGTATATACATAAAGTATATATACCTAAAGTAATAATGTCTGTTTCATTCTACTATCCTTCCTATCCCCAAAACCTTTCCCCTCTCCTCCCTTCACTTCCCTCTATCTACTCTAAGGTTGTTCTGTTCTTCTCTAGTACCCCGCCCCCGTTATTGTGAATTAGCATCCGCATATTAGAGAAAGCATTTAGCTTTAGTTTTTTGAGGATTGGCTTACTTCATGTAGCATGATATTCTTCAACTCCGTCCATTTACCAGCAAATGCCATAATTTCAGTCTTCTTTAAAGCTGAATAATATTCCATTGGATATATTATATACATTATATTTATATTATATACAATAAATATATAATTCTATATAATATATACTATATTATATAATATATAATTATTATATACATAATATATAAGTATATATTATATATATAATGCATATAATAATTATGTATAATATATGATATAATATTGTGTACTATATATTATATATATCACATTTTCTTTATCCATTCATTTATTGAATGACACGTAGGTTGGTTCCATAGTTTAGCTATTGTGAATTGAGCTGCTATGAACATTAATATCACTGCACCACTGTAGTATACTGATTGTATGTGTTCCTTATTTTAGAATTCAGAAGAAGGTAAAGAGATAATCAGCAGTCATACTGACATTCCTCTTTTCTAGATAGCATCCTAGAATTTCATTTGAGTCTGAATTTTTAGGCATACATTTATATACCTGGAATGATACTGAGTCAGTAATTTTCTGTTTTGAACTTTATACTTAATATAACATGATAGACATTTTTATCGTCACCACAAATTCTTTGTAGAGATATTTTTAATGGTTGAGGCTGACATAAACATATTTATCAGTAATCTTTGATTTCTGATTTTGGGGGGAAGTATATTAGTAACTAGAGTTTTAAGCCAAGGAATATAAAGCTTCACTGATTCCTGATATAACTAGACAATTGATTTTTCAAGAATGTCATTTCAGCTGCATTATCAGCTCCTATCACTGTGCTTTTGAAGTGTCTGGCTTTTAAAATACGTGTGTGTGTGTGTGTGTGTATGTGTGTGTCTGATATTATGCTTCTATGTTCTCAGGCTTCTATTTCAGCCTTTATTATTTATAGTACAAGTAATGCTTCTGATATCAAATCATTGTATCATGAAAATTTGTAGATTTTTCCCCTTAAGCACCTTTATCTGCAGTTATTGCTATTTATTTACCTTTATTTAAGCACTGACTGTGCAACTAATGTAGACAAATTGAAACATTAGATCAATGAGTGAATACATAAACAGATGACTCATTGTCTACTTTGAGAGCTTTTACTCTGGAAAAGTACAGGAATCAAATTCTTCAGGGAATTTAGATCATTGACATGAATATGTAGGTTGTAGGCAGAAAGAAAACTGATATAAATTAGATACTTGCATCATAAATGAATTTAATAGTCTACAAAGATTACCTTAATGGTTGAATATGCCATGGTTTTATGATTTGATGTCCAAAAGTCCTGTCAACTGTTCTGGAGAAATCCTGAGAAATTTGCAACCTATTTCAGGAATATTTTCTCTTGGTTTCTTTTTTTTTCTTAAGAACTGTGTTATTTTTGTGTAATTTGGATTCTCGATAGTAAAGATTGAAGTGTTATAGTTCACATGAAACAGTTTTGAAGGAATTTTAAATATTATGCATATATGATTATAGAGAATGTTAGAGAATTATTGGGATTTTGCATTAATTTTTCAAAATACATTAAAAAATACACCCATAGGGCCACACAACTACTAGTACTATTACTTCTTCCTCTCTCTCTTTGTCTCTACCTGCCTCTCTCTCTCTTTCTTTCTCAGTTCTGGGGCTTGAACCCAGGGCCTTTCACATGCTGGGTGGGAGCTCTACCACTGAGCTACATCCCCAACCCCTACAATTTCTATTAATGGTGAAAAAGAATATGAGTGACTCTCACACTATTGTATTACATGTGGAGCTTCCAACTCATGTTCTATCGTTTCATCTGCTTTCATCAAAGTCTCCCAAATGCATTGTGTGCTTCTTCACACCAAATAGAGTGTGCTTCTATTTTGGCAATTTCCTGCCCAGAAACTAAATATTAAAACTTATTTATTTACATATTTATGCAGTGCCAAATGACCTTCCAAATGATTCACAAGGATTAATTCCTTCTGTCCTCTAACAACCTTGTCAGGTAGCTACTATTACTAGCTTCATTTTTTAGCTGAGGTTACTCAGGTTAGAAAGTTTCCCTAACTTTCTAGGGTCACAAATTTTTCATGTGGTGGAGCTGCATTTAAACCCAGGCTCCTGTGATCCAGCATCCACAGTGCAGATTCTATATTACATCTCATTATCAAGATATTAAGAATCACAAGATCAGAAACACATCTCCAGCCACAAACACTCCACCCTGGAGTCAATGTTTTACCCAGACACACCATAGTACCCTCCAAGGAGGAGTTGCAAAGCTCCAGTAACTCAGCACTTCATCTTGGGAAGCCCCTTCCTTATATGAAGCACTGAAATATAAACCCACTGTAGAGGCTTTGGAGAAGACGAACAGGATGATCCGTGTTAATTAGCAGCACAGCCTCTGACACTATAGAGCAAAAGAGGAACGGCCACTGAGCACACATCTCATGTACTTGACACAGTTTATTGGCCTCTAAACATTCCTGGAGATGGATAAATAGATGTGTTAGGCAGAGGCATTTCTATAGTCTTTCATGTATATTTATCAATGTTCTCAAAAATCTCTCAGCCATTTGTAGACTACAAACCATAATTTTAAAGGTTGGAGATTGTACAGACCTCAGGGGATGATGTCTGACAGCATGAAATCAAGATATAAAAAAGGAAAATAGAACCCAGGTAAGGAGCTCTGAGGTTGCTCTTAAGGGTGATCCATTGTCAGTTCCCCACACTGTCTGGGGAATTTGATTTCACTACATAGACTTAAAAAAAATGATAAAACCATATTAAGTGCATGTGGTCAACCTTACTTAGGGAAACTTTATGTAAATGCAATATATTTCCCCAGCAATGTTATATAAGTAAATGGTTATTGTAAGATTTGGGGCAAGCCATTTTTTTCATTCATTCATTCACCAAATGAATATCTATCAGTGCTAGGTATTGTGCTAGGCAGTAAGTGCTAGTACTGTGTCTGATACTTGAAATTAATGTATCAGTGAACAAAACAAAAAAGTTAAGTCATAATAGTTCTTTCAAGTACTTGTTTATTGAAGAAATCTTTATTCTGATGCTACAATGTGCCCAACATGGTTCTAGGAATCTGGGATGAGGCAGTAGAATAACACAAAAAGATTTTGAAAGCCCTTTATGTTCTTAGAGACCACTATTTGAGATCACTCCAGGTATGACTATAACCTTGGGTTATTGCTCAGGCACTAGTGGAAATACCATCCTTAGCTCTGCAATGTTAGGATCAGTGCCTGGGTTGAAATTCTATTGGGAGAATTCTTTTACATAACAGACAAAAAAGTGCCTGGATAAATTACTTATGCATTCCCTTTCATCTTCTCTCAGCCACATTCTAATCATTACAGACCTTGAAGCAATAAGGCCAGCAATAATGCTTCTCAGGGCTAGTTCCCAGCCCAGCCTCTGACATCCTCTAACTCAGCACTTTGCTTTCATGGTTTGCATTTTCACCTTCCCTCTTTATTGAGTAGGGGTTGATTCCAGGACTTACTGATTTTTTTTTTTTAAAGTTAAATCAGTGTCTGTGTCAATATAAATGGATGACAGTAAATGTGGAACTGGCTTACAATTAATTGATCTATATTAAATTTTTGAGAATCCAAAATATATCAACCATTTGGAAGAGTGTCTTTCTTTTTCTAACTCTCTATGAAAATGAACTTTGAATTTCCCCATCCTAGGTCAATGTAGAATATATATGTCTAATAATAACCATATTTTAATTTTATTCAACTCTCAGGTTTGGCGATGGTTACACTGTCAATGTTTGGCTGTGTGAGGAAGCAAATCAACCAAGCACTATTTCTGATTGCTTAAAGCTCCATTTTCCAGGAATTCAGTTTAAGGTAGGACTAATATTCTGCATTGTCTTTGTTTTTATCTGAAAACACATTCGAAATGCATTTGTATTTTTTCTGTTTTTATTCTACACTGTCATGATAAACTTACTCCCTGTTATCTTGGCCTCATGTGAATATTGTCCATGCTTTACTACCCAAAGTAGCATGGATAAGCTTATACTGCCTGGCCACTCTGAGGAGTAACACCTGCTTGGTCTCTTGCTGGATTTCACAGAGAAGATTAAAATTATATATTTACCCCTCTAACCAGTGGGCACAAATCTATTGCATAGTTTATTTTGTTCAGGTTTGAAGGTAGCAAAAATTAATTTCTTCCCTATATTTGCTGTAGATTTATATCTGTCGTGATTTTAGTATTATTTCATAAGAAGAACCCCGTGGTTGAGATCATAATCTTCTTTTAATTTGATATAATTAAGTGTGGTCCCCTGGACCATCAGCATTTTCAATACCTGGGAACTATTTAGGTATGCAGAATCTCAGGTTCCAACCTACTGAATCTGAATCTGAATCTGCATTTTAAACAGGTGACCAGATGATTTTTATGCACATTAAATTTTTAGAAATACTGTCTACAATTCTTTTGGAAAACTGTAATCCTAAGTTATCATCACTTCTAACATGTCCATAAAATATAAGTCTTACCTACTTATTCCAACAACAAGCATTTGGTGGAAGGAAGAAGTCTGCTGTGTAAAACATTACCATTCATGCTCTAGTACCACTCTGAACAGCCCTATAATATAGCTGTCACAGCCTCCCTTGGCATACATGAAAACGGGATCAGAGCGGTTAGATATCAAGCCAAGAGTTGCTCAGCTAGTGGAGAGGGCCTCTGAGAGCTAATAAGCACATGTCCTGAAGTGAAGTTCAGGGCACTTCCAGATACCTCTATTATGCCACATTAACTTCTTACTTCTGTAATATCTGTAGGCAACTTTTGACTCTTTAAAGAGGTCCTTCCTGTGCTTATGGCAAAGTGAGGGTCAAAGCAGGGGCAGAACAGCAATTCAACCCAAGTGAATGACATTTATCAAATATGCCTCCTGGTAAATTGTCATCAATAAATATTCATTAGAGGCTCACAAAAGTGAAGCTAACTAGCTCATTTGTACTGATGTGTGTGACTTGATTAAAAAATAAAAAAACGTATCTGAGTGTAGTTGGAGATTCAATGCAATGTAATCAATTTTGTTTAATGATTGCCCATCATATGACACTTTCCAATTTTTGGATCTTAGGGACAGCGCCTTAATTTATTGGAGTATCATGTGCCAAAAAGACGGGGATGCTTGGCTGATTTGTTTAAAGTTCTAGAGGACAATAAGACCTTCTTGAACATCAAGCATTATTCTATTAATCAGACCACTCTGGACCAGGTATAGTACCTTGAATGAGTCAGCAAGTTGCATTTTGATATGCTCATCAGGCATACCACATCTAGGAAATTTAAAAATTTTGTCAGATTACTTCTCCAGCTCAACATTTCTTTTAATTAACCTTGTTCACTCTTACAAAATTCTAATAAAGATAGTGAGCATTAGAAGCTTTGTTTTCCATGGGTCCCCCACTCAAGGTGTACATTCCTAGGACTTTAATCTGTTTATAATTACAAATGACATGCAGTAAGTCAAATCATAAACTATTAACCTTCCCTTCCCCACTTTACCCAGTCTCTAAAAGATTAATTGGACCCTACTATAACTGAATGATAACTAACAAAAGGGAAACAAAAAGTGCTTGGTTGACTAAGAGTGCTAGAAATGTAAAACCATATCACAACTTCTTTCTGAAACCATACTTAAGGTATTGAGAATTTCCATGTAATTCATTAAGCACCCAGAAATATTTATCATTCCCAGAATTGAATCCTGAATGGATTTGTATGTTTAGGGTGATGAAGGAGAGGATGGCATGGCTATCTGATTGAGAGATTTGGGGGCTGTTTTGGCAGTATTCTGAGACATTCTCTCCCCTTCTGATAGTTGAAATCCAGAGACAGACTGTACTTACAAATAAGCAATTATTTTCATTATTTTTTTCAGGTATTTATTAATTTTGCTACTGAACAGCAACGGACTCCACACTCTACTCTTGATCTTTCCACTGACTGTCACCGCCCGTATCATCTCTCTATTTAACCAAAAAGGAATAATCCCTTGACTTTCATTATAATTAATATTCAAAGATCAAACACACATGCACAGCTGAGGGCTGAAAGACATGCTCCAGGCAGTCAAGTTATTCTCTCTGTCACTGTCTATTTGGAAACTCTCTGTTTATTAATAATCGGCAAACTGAAAGGTCACTTTTTCCATAGACTTTTGGGTTGATTCCTCCAACACATTTACTTTTCCCACATTGGGTGGCCACCAGCTTCTTTGTGACAAAGGCAGGGATGAATTAACAGAGTCCAAGCTGAGACACTCTGGGGCTTAAAGGCTGTCCCTGACTGTCCATGCCAAATGTCTCATTTTTCTCTTAAGGAAACTGTGTCTTTCCCCCCAAACACCATTGGGGGGAAAAATTCCTAGCTTATTTATATAGGAAATAGTATCAAGGACTGTCTTTTGATCGATGTGGTTACATATTTTAAAATCAAAACTCAATGATTTAAATGCAAACTTTTCCTAAAGCTGTATGGTATATGGCATAAGATGATAAAATTGCCCATTATTTTTATATAAAATATGCTTTAGAAATAGGAGTTGCAGAGCATTTTTGGTGAACCAATAAGCAAAATTAAAGAAATCAAATTAGTTGCTCTGTGTCATTTATAACAATTTTACCAGATTGTAATTATATAGAGATATAACAAGAAATAGAATTTGGAAGAATTATTTCTTTGTTATTCTAAGCCAATGATGTTTTCAAAGGGTGGTAGTTCCCATATTAGGTGCATTGGCTTACTCTGGGAGCATTGTAATTCTCAGGCCCAATTTCAGAGCTGATGAACCTCAAACCCTGGGCCTGGAGCCCAGCAATCTGAGTTTGAACAAAGATATCCCACTTTGAGAACAAAGGAGATGTCTTGTTTCTTTTTAATTATAAAGGTAAAGTCAATACAGGAAGTAGTAATTCAATATTGGTTTTAAAATATATTTTAAATATTTTTTAAAAGATATGTCATTCTCAGAATTTTTATCCTCAAGATGTGGCTTTCAAAACCTCTATTAATATGAAAATTTATATGTTATACTTAGTAAAGTATATAAAATCAATATATCTGCTACTGAAAATGTTTCCAAGTGAGATATTTTTGAACATTTCTCTAACATCATTTTTCTAAAACCTCAGTGAAAGACCACATTAATTTTATTATAAAATTTGACCCTATCCGGCACTATCATTGAGTACTAGTAGCTTGTGATAGAAGAAAAAGACATTGTGACATTTGTTTACTACAGCGAGATTTAATTAAGTTTGTCTTTCCTGAATATCATTTTGTACTAGACATAATTTTGAATGGTAAGGATTAAGCCAATCATGTGTAGCTTTGATGTAACTGATTTTTATTCTCATGTATCACATGAATTATGCTCTCTTAAAAGAGTTAGTTAAGATTTTATGATTTTTTTCCCTCCAATTCTAACATAGTCTCATTGTCAAAATGGAAGATGTAATCTCTTTTTGTTGTTGAATCAATAAATACCAATTTGTGAAACACGGATATATTTATACTGCAGTGAATAAATAAGGTGTGCTGTAATTTAGCCTGGTTCTTGGAATGTAATTGTGTTTTTGCCAATATATTTCCTTGCATCTTTATTTGTGTCTTTAGGGATCCAATTTAATTCAGGTAAGAAGAAAATGGAACTACTCCAGATCTTTTAAAGTTTGAAAGGTTAAAATTTAATTGAGTTTTTCTCTGCTATGTTCTGCTCTTAGGGGTTCTTTTCTGGTCTTTGAACTGCTGTATTCTTGCAGTTTATGCTTCAAGGTATGCTTTTGAACAATAAACAGGAAGAAAAAGAAACCCAACATGCTAAAACTCCACATCCCAGAAGACTGGACACAAAGGTCAAATCTTATGCTAATGTTGAAAATGTCATTGCATTCATAAGTCATACAGATATTTTATGCCTTTGGAGTTAAACATTTGTCTTAAGACCTTTGGGCTGAAGGTCATACAACTGAGACTTTTTTTTTAAACAAACTATTTTCTACTGAAATCATTCTGAGTATTTTATAAGTCAGAGATAAGGGTGCTTATTTCAGTTCTATAATCTGGCATTTATTATATAGTTCATCTTTACCCAATTATTTAAACAGTTAATGTATTAAAGTTGTCTTATAAAATCAAGATTGTGAAAAGCAAGTAAGGAACATATTTTTAGAATAGTAAAGACTAGGTAGCTTAAGGTTATAGTTTGCTTTTAAAAAATGGGTATTAAATTCAAAAAATAGCTTAACAAGACCATTTCAAATCATCATACAAAACACATACACACTACACACACACACATACACACCACATGCACACTATAGTGTTCATGGAAATGACATGAAGACTAGCTTAATCACAAATTGTCCTACCCAAATCAGGAGATGAGGAAATTTTAAATATTCAAACTGATTTGAACATGTTTCTTCTTTGGATTTTGCTTTGATCTTTTGTAGTATTTCTGCTCAGTGAACTTTTGCTTATGGAGAATTAAAACTTAGATTTATCCACTTAAATAATTTAAGGCCTTTTCATACACATACACAAACACACAAAGCAATCATGTATTCATTCCTTTAAGTAATATTTATTGAACCCAATCTACATATGTAAGTAAATGGTAGGCACTACAAAAATGTGGCAATGGAATCAGATTTTAAAACCTTAATCATTGGGCTTGAGAGGCACACAATCAAGTGGGGATTCTGAGGTGATGTTATAAGCAATGAGTGCATTCTGTTATGGGACCACAGCGGGATCCATCTAACCAGGGGTCTGGAAACAGACTTGGTAGGCTAGTAACCACTTGTCTAAACATTTTCAGAGCAAGAATGGAGAAAATAGTATTTGAGGCTAAAAGAATATCACGGAAAATCAACAACATATAATGAGCAATGGATTTTTGCCTAGTATTTTGGAGAAAGTTTATATAATGACCATGGACATTCCCCATCTCTCATTGTTAGAACTCCCATTATATTTTCAAGTGACTGCTAAATCAGGGTGTGGGGATAACCTATATACTTAAGCTTGTATTATATCATCCAGAATTATTCACATGGTCATAACTAACTGCAAGAACATTTGCAAAATGAAGTTTTTAGCCAGGCTTCTGACCAACCTAAAATGAAATGAACTAATTCTGTGCAAGAAAAGCCAAATAGATAATGGATAGATGGTGCCTTCTATGACAGGAATACAAACAGAGGTTTTTGTGGCCCTTCTGCCACAAAAGAATGAATTCAATTTGAAAATGTTGATCATTACTTTTCAAACTAAGTAATGTCAAGTGACATGGCTATCTTTTTGGCAATCCAGGTTCTAAGAATATTGCTATTCAGGATTAAATTGTATGTTAAGATCTACAGAGCAGATGCCATTTATATTTATAAGCATTATTGTCAAATTGAATGCAGTAGATAAGGAAAAGAAAAATTTATGGACATTTTTTATTTGGGCTAAATAAATAGCAATGTCATTTTCTCACAGTGAGAATTCCTATTGAGATACTTAATGGATAAATATATCTTGCTAGAAAGGATTTTAAAAGACTGAAAGAAATCAGAAGCATTTTTCTTAATTATTTGCCATCACAAAAGCTACGTTTCACCCCCTCATGAATGAATCCATAAATTTTGCTCTTTACATTAAAATGTTAAATGTTTTAAGGGAAAATAGGATCTACTAGTTAAATGCGCTTTTTTTTTTTTAATGGAAATTGAACTCCAGGGTGTTCTAGCACTGAACTACATTCCCAGTCTTTTTTTACTTTTTATTTTGACACAAGGTAGTTTCTGTGTTGCCCAGATGATCTCAAACTTGCTATCTTCCTGCCTCAGTCTCCCATGTTGCTGGGATTACAGAAGTACACCAGTATCCTCAGATTAAATGTATATATTTCCCCCCTTTATTTGCTATTTTTTCTTTCCATATTTTTATTAGTGCGTTATAATTGTACATAATGACAAGATTTGTTATATGTTAGAGTGCTATTGGTCAAATTAAATGTACATCTTAAACCTAGAAAAATATACAAGCTAAAAACATATCAGAAATTTTATGAGCATATCCTTTTAAATAGAAAGTAGTATTATAAACACCATACTTGTCCCTGCATGGATATTGCTTTGCTGATGAATTGTGTTCACTGCACATTTGTGATAGTGTATTTAGTTTGTAACTCTGTTCACCAAGTACACAGATGAACCTGGCTTCAGTTAAACTCTCTGTGGAGTACCATGATGTTGATGAGGCATGGGCTCCTACTTGGTCACATGTGCATTCAGTGTCAGGCTGGAGCTCATCCTGCCCAAACATCATTTGAAAATTTTGTACCTCAACAACAACAAAAAAAAAGCGGGGGAGGGAGGATTAAAGTTATGAGCTAGGGCAAGGCAGGAAGCTCATGACAAAATTCACAGGCTGGGCATCAGGGGAGTGAAAATATCAGTAAATAAAATTGAGTGTAGTAAATAATGTCTCACAATCCAATATGATTTATGTAGAAGCAATTCATATAATACATTTCATTCAAAGGTAAGAATACAAATTCTTTCAAATACAGAAAAATGTAGATGATCTTCTGCATTAGAATTTTAGGATTACAAGTCAATTTTTATAATCTCATGTTTATAATGATTACAATGGAATTTTCAAAGCTGAATTGTGTAATTATTTTAGGCAGCTTTTATATTGCTGTGACAAAAAGACCTAACAAGAACAATTTTAATGAGGAAAAGTTTATTTGGGGCTCAGCTTCAGAGGTCTCTGTCCATAAATGGCTGACACCATTCCTTGGCACCTGATGTAAGGCAAAACAACATAGTGGAAGTGTGTGGCACAGGAAGAGGAAAAGAGCTGGGGACATGGCAGCAGGAAGCAGGGAGAGAGACTTCTCCCCTCACCATGGACAAAACATAAACTCCAAGGTCATGCCCCCATTGGTACACCTCTTTCCGTCACATCCTATCTGCCTACATTTACCAACCAGTTAATTCCAACAAATTCATCTGTGCACTGATGAGGTTAAGACTCTCACGGCCCAATATTTTTACCTCTGAACTTTCTTGCATTGTCTCACACAGGAGCTTTTGGGGGACACCTAATGTCTAAACCATAATGGTTATTTTGTCTGAATAAAACACTGTTCTCAGGAACCTTTCTTTAGTGATCATATCTTTCTCATATAATTTTTATGTCCCTTATAGCTGGGTTATTTCTAGCAACCTTTAAGTGCTTTAGTCCTTCTCATTTTATAAAATTCTCTGTCAATGCCACATCAATATATACTCATCCATGTCCACTCCATGTTCTTCTTTCTCTGAAAACCAGAGTCTCAGAGGATTTTTCTCACTGTCTCAATCTCCTCACCTCCTGCCTATTCCACTCTAGAGACTGCTCTGTTTATGCCTCCAAAAAGTCTCTGGCTGAAATCAACAAGGGTTCATCTTTCTAGGTCCAACAGACCCTTTGGCATCCACATCTACTTGTCTCTCCTCTCTGTAGAAATGTTTGTATTCCTTGATTGTACCATTTATGTTTTTCTGACTTTCTTTTTCTCTCCATGGGAAGAAACAAATGCTCCTTCCCATGAAAATGAACTGCCGGTATTTTGTAAGTCTAGTTCTTGGCTCTCTGTTTCTGTTTTTCCTGCTATCCATGATCTGGCCAATCGCTTCCTCACCAACAATTACTAACAGACTAGCTATTTATCTTCCCCTGTCTGCTGAACTCCAAATGAGGCTCAGGGCTTGTGGGCCTCTCCACTCATGCCTCACAGGTGGGTCAACCCAGGGGACATTGCCACTCACCTTCTAGATATAGAAGGCAATATTCTTACCATTAAAGCTAAAAAGGCATACACAATGACCTAAAGATCTCCCACTAGGTCCAAACTCTTAAAAGTCCTACCACTTCCCAGGGGTACCTCACGAGGGTCCAGATTTTGTATCACTTGGGCTGTTTTTTGAAAAATGTTTATCTTCTCCATTCAATCCCAGGCTCAATCAGGCCAACAACAATGCTGTGTGTGTGAGTTTTCCTTTCTCCATTCTATTCCCAGTGCCTGTGCTTGGAGGTTTGTCCTCAATACCTGATGCTCCCCCATGACCCAGAATCAACCCTTCATGGAGTCCTGTGACTTTCTCCAGAGCCTCTTGCTGATCTGTTTTCTACCTCTCCTTTCATTTTCCCTTGAAAGTTTCTATTATTTCTTTCTTGGACACAGATTGACTGTAGCACATTTCCTTTATCTTAGTTTGCCTCTGTAGTCTGTCTTCAGTGTTCCTGATGGGGTGATTTGTCCTTTTTCAATTGCACAGTCAAGAACACTACTCTTTTGATTAATTCTCAGTGCCTCCCAGTGCTCTAAGAATAATGAAAACATTTTCAACAATACCTTGAAATCTCTGGCCAGTCACCTGCATACTCATCCCCTTCGGCTCTTTGAGCTGCATTAGCCTGTATTCTTCAAGTAAGTCCTGAACCCTTCTTTATATAGAGAATAAAATCCATGTAATTCCTCTGCTA